GGCTTTTCTAAAAGCCGGAAAAAAGCGGCGGACATTTTTATTTAAATGCCGCGGGGGATATTTAAATCCCCCGCGGATTTCCCTATTACGATCTCAAAAATTACCATGCCCCTTCCGGAAAAGGGGCCAATGTAGACAAGCCCCTGGAGAGTACAAGAATCATCAGCACAAGTATATAGACAAAGATAATAACTCAAGAACAGAAGTGGTCCTCAATGCTTTGTTTATTCTTTTCAAGATAAACCTTGTTCCAAGGCTGGGCTTCCCATTTTTCAAAATTGTTATAAACCTTTTAGCAACCTTGAAACTTTTGCCATGTTTCATCAGCCCTATAATTTTTCACAGCTCCTCACTAGCTAGTTTTCTCATTGTAACTGTGAAAATCATAGCAGTAGACATCAAAGAATCTTTGCTTGTTAAAATTGGTGTTTTAACTCCTTTGATGTGCTGTGAAAGGATTGTTAAGGACTAGCTTTCAGCCTACTTAAATGTGAGAAGACTGGGCTATGTAAACACGCAGAACAATTTACGCTTGTGAAAATACGGCAGAAGCTGCCTGGACTAGCATTATTTAAATTCTGCATATGAATATATTTAATATGTGCAAACTGAATTGAAGATATCAAAAATACAGTGCCATACTATTGTTTAGTAATAGAAATGTATTGTTTAATATTCATATATGAAGAAATTACTGAGAAGTAATATTGTTCATACCCATTCCTCTGTGTGATCTACAAAGTATTAAAAAGCTGGTCAGTTTTCATTGGGCAATTCATTTCGTGTACCGTATAACAACTAGCGGCTGTTTCATGTTCAATAATCATATCTGAGCTACACTGAGCTAAGGCCAAAATGTTCAAACTCCAGGGCCTAAATGTGTCATAAGTTCCTCTTGGGGTTATGTAGCTCCACACTAATCCCAAGGTGGGCCTCTATATTAATCACACAAATGGGGTCAAAGTGCTTATGCAAATCAGCCCCTCATAACAGATTATGTAAGTGATAAAAACCTAACTGCTACAATTATGCCACTTTGACTGACTGAGAATTCCAGTTCAGAATATTTTTACATGTTGTTTCATACATGTATCCCGTGAATTTCCTGACACTGGGAAAATGATTCTGCTTTGTGTGAAAATGATAAAATGCATATTATTTTCAATATGAACACCTGAAAAATCCATCTTCTTGTGTATACTTTAAATCATACAAATTATGAAGACCATAACAAATACATACTAGCCAAATTGGATTAAAGCACCAATGTTATAGTTTTGGCATAAAGCATGCTATTCTAAATATAAATGCTCTGAATAGGCCAAACTTAGTGAGATAGAAGACAGCTTAAGGGAATTGAATTCTGAATTTTCCAACATGAACAGTTGTGTATTTGAATTTAATAATGATTTGAAATAGTAAAAAAGGCTCAAATGGAATTATTTAAGATCAGTGCTGCACTAGACAGAATACAGAAAGAAGACATACTCCGGTAGATGATAAAGAAGGTAGTTTGATTCCTTTTGTTGTACCTAGTGGAATACTGACAGGGTACATTCTTAATTTAACACCCCAAACTGCTGTCCTTTTATAAGGCAAAAGACAAATAATCTTCTGTTTGGAGGAAATATACTTTCCCACAATTAATTTTTATCATATATTCTAGTTTTCTAATTACTGATGGAATTTCTTTTATCCTCAGTTGATAAACAAAAAGGAAACTCTAACCCAGTCGTTATTTCTACCTGTTGGGAAATCAACAATTTTTAATGAGTTAAAACCATCTTTCAGTGGGTCACTGGTTCATAAATTACAGAACCGTTATGTAAAACATTTATTCCATTTTCATCACCTAGTCCTTTCCAGAAAACATCTGGCATAACACATATCCCTTATCAACCACCCAGTTTTTTTTATATCATACTTTTCTGTAGATATTTTTATTCTTTTTAGGGACATTTTACATGGACATTTCTATTCCAGAGACTTGGAGATGCTGTGGATAATTAGATACAGCCCAGCACTCAATCAGATAAAAATTCCTGAGGACAGGTCACTCACACGATAAGAACCAGAGGTCTGGGCCTTACAATTTAAACACACTATTTGCTAATATAAAGATTCTGGGACAATAGTTTATATGCAAATAAATAGAATTCAAGGCTATGTTAATGTTTAGTCAATCTAAGCAATTACATCTTTAACCTGTATCCATTTGGAACAGCTCTGTTCTGCGAACACAGATAGTGCTGGCTAATCTATTTATTCAGACAGTACAGAGATGAGCTTAAGCAGCAAAATTTATATCCAGACTTCCTCATGGTAAATCAGGTGAACTGTTGGAAAGATGGGAGTGCTTCAGGGATCAGCATTGAACTCTTACTTTGCAGTACATTGGTGCATGCAGTTTACAGATGATACAATTCAATGCAGTGATGAGAAAGAAAGTCCAGCAGAGGATTTTTGATAAATGGAAAAATGTATTAAAGGGACACCGGCTCAGAACAAGTAAAGGAAAACCAGAATGTATGGGTATGTTAATTCAATATTGTGAACACTGAAGAATTATCCATGAAACCAGATGAACAGACAACAT